TGTGATGTTCAACAGTGATTCCACAGCTGAGAGAATGCATAGATAGTTAGTTGGTGATCAGGATTTGATAGCTCTCATCAGCAGTGACATGAGACTGAAGCTCACTGCAGAACACACAGATAGCAGTTTTTAGACAAGTTTTCCATTCACATTTGAATGTCTGGCTTAGATTATATATTGATAACTGATCATGTACATCAAGTTATGAAACAAAACAGAAAACTGTGGATGAAATATTGGCATCTTCATACTGTAATAAAAATAAAAATGTATGCATTATAGTATTTTTGAAGAAGATGTGGGCCTGGAACTCTCATTCTTTTAAATCTAGTATGTCCTCCATAAGAGACCGTATTATTGAATGAAAAATGATAAGATCTTTGTCTCATAATTATGAGGTCTATCAGCATAAAGTGTCAGTGTCATTAGTGTCAGACGTGATAAAACTATGGCTGCATCCTGCAACTAAGCCATTATTTTCATGGCTGATTAATCTGACAATTATTTCAGTAATATGCATTTGGTCTATAAAATGACATAAATTAGTGACAAAAGCTGTATAATTTTCCCACAGCCCAATGTGACGTCTTCATATGTCTTATTTTGTCTGACAAACTGTCTAAAACCCAAAGATGTTCAGTTTACTATCATGTAAACCTCATATAAGAATTACTAAAACGATTAACTGATTATCAAAAAAAAATATGGATGATCGAACGATCATTTATCGACTACTCGCTGCATCTCTGGATAAAACATCAACAAAAAAACACTAAAGATTTGCTGTTCTGCCTGGGCCAGTGTACAACTAGTCTTACTGTGCTTGTAAATCAAATATAGATCGGTCGCATATTTCTATCATAACATCACTAAATTATCCAGATTATACAAGATATTCAAATGCTAGGAAACATACCCTAAAACAACAAATTGGTCTTTAAAATGAGCAAAAATGTACCCTATTATTGTGAATTATTCTCAAGTGAGAGAATTAATTGACATCCCGGGCATTCGTTTCTGAGTGGAAGAAACTGAGGTGTTACAAATAATGACCTGTGTTACACTGAACCCATCCTCCACTCCACAGTTGCAGCATTTTGAGAAAAGATGATAGAGCATCTCCACGAAGGAAGTCAGAAAGATTCAATGTGTCATTCTGTACTGCTCTTTCCTTCTTACTGCTCTTCACTTTAGTGCCGTTTTCTGACAAATACTGTCAAATAACTATCTGTGATTTTTTTTTAATGTGCATCCGTGTGCCACGTCCTTGCTCTTAGAACTACTCAAACTGTGTTCTTCTTTCAGAGCAATGTCAACTGATGTATAGGACTGGCGTAATTGAGCACTTTCCTTTTTAAGCCTTAATCTGTGCGAAGATTGCATTTTGAACTGTGTCAAGAGATCCCGGTCTGCCTTTGCACCCAATTCTCAGGAAATCTGTGGGCTGCTGTCAGCCTGTGGCAACTGTTAAAGCTGGGAGAGAGCCCAGGAGAAATCTGCAGAGGGAACCGTTCATTTCTCACCACACAATCTCCACTTCAACTTCTAATTTCCTGAGCAAATGTTACTCACCAAACCTTTGGCCGCAGAACGAGCCTGATAAAAGTTGGGGTGGGTTTGAAAGTAATGTGAAAAAGCTGTGTCTAACTAGGGCACGGAAACTTTAACACCATCCACTTATAGGCCTTTACAGGAGCAATGATCATCACATGGTCCTCCTAGAAAACATTAGGTTGCTTCAGGAGGCTAATAAACATCCCTTGCTGCAGAATTACAGCAGTCTTTATGGTGAAGTTTATTCAGGATTATGCCTGTTTACATTGTAACATGTCATTTCATTATTAAAGTATAGATGACTTTACATTGAGTTGCATGTTTTGCATGTTTTTGCATTATTTAATCATTAACCATTATATTATTAATGTTTAATAAAGGATAATATTTTATCTATCTTCATTTACACTATTGTCTAGATATCATCAGATCATACATCTGTCTCTAAAGGTCCAGTTTGTAACGTTTAGGAGGATCTATAACAGAAATAGAATATTCACACTGTAGGTATGTTTGCATTTTTGTATAATCACCTGAATAAAGGAATAGTTGTGTTTTCTATGGAGTCCGCCATGTTAAACCACCATGTCTCTACAGTGACCCAGAATGGACAAACCAAACATTGCCTGTAGATTGAGCCTTTCCTGTTTTTTGCACCCACCATAGTTTCTCCTGCACACTTCACAGCTAAACGCCACCAAATCCTACACACTGGTCCTTTAATGAACTGATAACTTCAAGTGTATATTTTAGACTTTAAAGAGTAAATAAGGCTTTAAATACAATAAAGTAAATTATAAATAACAAATACTATAATACATTTGTTATAGATAATTCTTCATATTTGCAGCTGATAGAACAATGTGGTATATATTATATTATATTTGAAAAAAACACGTATTTTTTAAGCATCCAACAAGAACTTTGGCCTCTGACAGTTATGTCCATGATAAGGACGACAACAAGGTTATGTTGCATAAGACAGGGTTCAAATCACTAGACATTTAAATGTGGGTGTAAATGAGACAAACTGTTACATGAAATCATTTTGGTGTATTTGACCTTGTATGTGATGTGTGTGATGTGTTTGTTTATACCAGATGCTGTTTGTTTAAAGCCATTTGGTTTACAGTGCACCACACCCACCTTTTATGAAACAGGCAATTTAGGGTCATTAACATAATAACACCATCATGGCTGCCCCTATTGGCTGGTAGTACTGCCGGTCCCTTCCCTTCCTTTGAGAGATGTCTAAATGCTACATAGGGCCTGTTTGTACAGCATTAGATAGTGGATATGTCCCTTATAGCATTTTATTGAAACACTTTGATGATGAGGTGGTCCAGTGATTTTACTGATTCATAGTGTCAGTAATTCTAATACAATTTTGACATTGGAATTACATTTATAGAGCATCAAAATCATGGTTACTGTTGTCAGTAACAGCATTGCCAGATAAAAAGTTTCAAGTTTGTAAAATGAGATTTCCTCTGCCTACAAAGCCATACAAACACACGCCTCTATCCTCCTCCTTTACAATCAAATTGTGTGTGTAAAGACCAAGCCAACAGGCTATCATAAGTTAATCTTATCAGGTTTGCTCTCACTTTCTATTATTTCTATCATATTTTATATATTTTTTAAATATTGTCGGTTGTGTGTGTATATGAACTTTCACAACATCTCATTTGCATCACTTTGCCTTTATTACATTTCACATATTTATTTGTCTTTTATATAATTTTACTCTAAGTTTTGCCATTTTGTTGAATATTAATTATTTTTTGTGTAAAATACCGCATTCAGCCGGATCGATCAGAGATACTGGAATTGTGTAATAGTAAGTACCGTGAATGTTTGTGTTTATAGCTAACGTTGTATTAATTGCCCCTATATATATATACACACACACACACATTAGCTGCATGACACAGTGCTTTTGCCCATTCGTGCACATGTCAGTGTAAATGTTTGCTGTAGGAACGGAAGTTTCAGGCTGTTGTTGACTCCGGTCAGTTAGTGAAGAGCACACAGAATGTTAGCACTAGCCACAAGCTAGCGGCTCCTTACGACTGTGGAAAACCTTAAAGTGCTCATTTAATGCCAACAAAGTACGGCAATGTCGTAAAAGGCTTCATTTTCACTTATCTTACCTTCGTTCTGCGACTTTTATTTAGCAACAACATGGTCGTTGTTACCTAAATAGTAAAACATAGTTTTAGTAGTTTAACTTTACTATGGTTTTGGGTTGTTAAACAAATTACTGTCTTATTATCGTTCACATTCCTTATGTGTATTTGTAGGGCTAGTTCTTAATTCATGCGTGTTAATTTGCACATATATGTATGTATGTTAGCTACCTGCAAGCTCCGCCTTATTGACGTTCACCGTTTCAAGTGAAAAGTGTCGAAGAGTTTCTTTTGTTCTGATTTGCATTTTCAGTAACAAATCGTACTTTTCTCCTGCTGCTGAAAGATGAGTCTACTGTAAGTGCATGGCCCCCCTCTGCTGGCAGTGTACACACCAAGCAACAGTCTAAATATAATGTACCACCAGTCCTGTACAGTCAAACTCTGCTGTATATGTCATAAGAATCATGTTAATGCTGTAAATAATAAATAATTGTTTTTGTTTTGTTTTTTGTTCTCTAGTAAGAATAATTAGTCACAGTATCACTGTGTATGAGGATAAACTAAACTGAAACCAGTGACAGCTCGTGTGTATTTCAGAGTTACTTCAGAGTCAATTAATCACTGGTTTCAATGTGGCAGACGACGTCATCAGTTGATCCATTGTGCCTGTGACTGTAAAGTCATTGTGAGGGAGGTAAAAATAGATATTTCTCAATGTTAAAGAGATATTGACTTGTCATAGAAACATTTCCAAAAAACTGAACAGCACAGTATGACAGCCATAAAGAAATATGTGTGTCCTGACATCACTGCTAGGATCTTAAGACATTTCTTTTTAGCAAAGCTT